TGTTCCATCTTAGACTGCTGCCTGCAAGCTTCTGAGACCCCACTTGTGGATGCTGCTGGCATCTTTATAACACCCCAAACTGGGCCCAAGCTCAATGTCCATCGACAGGTGCATGGACAAGATGCTGTGGCCCAGGGGACATGCTGCTACTCAGTAGGAGAAAGGAGCAAAATGGAGATGAAATCAATGCTGTGGATGAGTGAGTCATCACCCTGAGTGAAAACAGCCAAGCCAAAAAAGCCTACCATACCATGGGGTTCCATTTACATGAAACTGCAGAAAGTGCAAGCTACCCCACGGTGACAGAAAGCCCACTGGAGGCTGTCCAGAGACGGGCAGACGGACCAGAAAGGGCACGAGGCAAGTGCTAGGGGTGAGGGAGACACGTTACCTTGGTTGTGGTGACACACGTCAAAACCGAACTGCACACGTCAACTATACATAGTTTAGCTGACTTCCACTCTGCCTCCGTAACGTTTGGGGAAGTTACACCACTTAAGTTCTCTCTGTTGTTCTTCTAGGGAGCTGAAAGGGAAACATTCCAGAGCATGGTAATAAGAAGGCACCTGGACCGCAAAGCATGGGCCAGCTGCGAGCCACCAAGTCCGGGCTTCTCGTGGGCACGGTGATTTGCATCTCCATTTTTCTCTATTTAAGGAATCCAGCTCCCAAGGAACCAGAGCAGGAGCCCACGCCCCCAGTCGTAGTGGAGTGTGGCTTTTACCCAGATGAACTGTGCTCAGCTTTACTTGAAGGGAAAGAGGCGGCCCCCCAAATTGCAAGATTTTGTAAGAATCCTCATCGATCTGAGCTCCTTGCTCACTTACACAGCCCAGGAAACTGCTCCAGGATCTCCCAGGGGTTACGCTTCATAACCAGGCCCCTGTCTGCACAGGAGGGTAATTTCTCCTTGGCGTATATCATGACCATTCACGAGGAGCTGGACATGTTTGTGCGGCTTCTCAGGGCGGTTTACGTCCCTCAAAACGTTTACTGTATACAGGTGGATGAAAAGGCCCCCAAGAAGTTTAAGACTGCCGTGCAAACTCTGGTTAACTGCTTTGAAAACATTTTTATTTCATCAAAGGCGGCTTCTGTTGGTTTTACAAGACTACAGGCAGACATTAACTGCATGAAAGACCTAGTCCGTTCTAGATTTCAATGGAACTATGTCATTAACCTTTGTGGACAGGATTTTCCAATCAAAACCAACAGAGAAATCATTCGCTTCCTCCAAAGCAAATGGAATGGTAAAAATATCACTCCTGGAGCAATCCAGCCGCCAAGGGCTAAGTCCGACAGCAACCAGAGCCACTCCAAACCCACCCCCGCAGCAAACGCCTATGTGTCTCCAAATGCAAGATTCCAAGGGGAACCACCCCATAACTTAAAAATCCATCTTGGAAGTGCTTACTATGTACTGACGCGGAAGTTTGTTGAGTTTGTCCTAACTGACATCCGAGCAAAAGACCTGCTTCAATGGTGCAAAGGCGTCCAGAGTCCAGAGCAACGTTTCTGGCTGACCCTGAACCGAGTGAAAGGTATGAGCACTCCAGAAACCCGGGTGTCTGTTCAGGTCAAAAGCAGTGATGGGAGCTGGGCTTTTTAAACACATTTATTACAGCTTGGGTGTAAGTTTACAGAGCACATGAGCTCTCCATCCAGCAATCCACACGCTTTGTCTCCTGTCTTAGCTACAGTCCCCTCAATGGAAAAGCACCCTTCCCACTTCCTCCCTGCGGTCCCCGTTTCCACTCTGCCTTCTTTCTGCCCCTTCCTGCCGTCTGAACTTTGATTCTGGGTAAACGCTGTCTTTTGGTCTCGTGTGGTTGACTGATCTAAGAGGTCAGCTCCTCAAGGGTGCTGTTCACTTCACTAGCCTGTTGTTTTGCTGAAAGGTGATTTCCGGAAGGGGGTCCAGTTCCAGGTGTGAAGGGTGTCTAGGGGCCGTAGTCTCAGAGATTCTACCAGTCTCCATCAGACAGTAAGCCTGGTCTTTTTACTGAGTTTTGTTCTACATGTTTTCCCTACTCTGTCCAGACCTTCTACTGCGATCCCTTTCAGAGGGTTAACAGTGGCAGCGGGTACCATCCAGTTCTTCTGGTCTCAGCATCATGGATGCTGAGGTTTGCATGGTCCCTTAGTCCTCTGGACTATTTCCACGCATCTTTGATTTTCTTCA